GGTGGGGTGGGGGGAGACGAAGCAGCCCAAGCCTCCCACCCACCCTCTGGGTTCAGCACCACAGGCAAGGGACAGTGGCGGAGGGCACACGCGCGCGCGCGCGCGCACACACACACACACACACACTCGCTGATCCATACAAGGGCCAACGAGGCAAAACAGCTACAAATAGTCACAGGCTCCCAGAACTGGGGGGAGGGCAAGAATGTTTTTAGCCGGAGTCAGATCCAAATTCACATGCTGTGCCTGCTGACAAAGCCAGCCAGAAACAACCACAAAGGCACCCATTAATAATAATAACAACAGTTGCCATTCACAAGGGGCTTCCAGCCCTTACTATGTGCCAGGCATTGTTATAACATTTTTAATAAGCGCTTGACACATGTTGACGCAACTGACCCGACCCTCCCAAAAACCCTGTGAGGTAAATGCTACTAGCCCCATTTTACAGATGGGGAAACTGAGGCACAGAGTGGTGAAGTGTGGCTTCAGGTTCTACCCTTAACTGCTACACTACACACTGTCCCAGACTGAGGGACTGGCAAGAAGTTAGGCAGCGAGCTGCGAAGGACCGGGCAGGCGCCGGGAACACAAACTCACGAGTCCTGAAATGGTGAACACACACACACGTGCACACACTTCACAGACCCAGAACATCACTACTTAAATGCCCCAGATCCCACCCTAGGGTCCCAGTCCTGCCCAGGACAGGAGGCGATGGAACACTCAGCCTCTGCAGATGGGCAGCAGGAGGGAGACCCTGGTGCTGCCAATGGCCCATGCCCATCGCCAGTCCTGGCTGGACACCCCCGGGCCCACTGCCAGGAGAGGAGGGAGACCACCCAGCTCTGGCTCCCTGTGATTTCCCATGCTTGGGTCCTGGGAGGTGAGGTGAAGACAGGGGTGGCCAAGAATTGGTAGGCTCCAGCCTCCTGAAGACCCACTGTGGGGCACTGGTAGCTTAGTCTTCACTGTTGGTGCAGATGGTCAGACTGACAGGTGGACTTCCATGGCAGGAGGTAGACAGATGGCTAGAACCACCATGGTGCCTGCCCCTCCCCCGCAGGAAGCAGGGGTCCCACCCAAACCCTGCAGCAGCAAAGGTCCCACAACCAGCCTGGACCCCGCTCAGGAATCGCTCCCCCACCCTCCCGACCCGATTCTATTCCTGGCAAGATTTGTTCCGTTGTCCCCGCCCTCCACTGGTCCCTGTGACGTAGGCCTCAATTCCTTCTCCTGGTGCCACAGAAGTGGCCACAGGAGGGGCAATCGCTACAGCCACAGGGCAGGGAATTAGCCTTGTCTCCCACTTCCTGGTCTCCCAATCCCCTGGGCTTTTCAACTAGGCTCACCCTTAGCCCTTTCCAGGACAGTGTAGCCTGGGGCTCATCTCAGGACTCCCCAGTTGAGATCTAAATTGATCACTTCTGCTGGGTGTTAACCTTGGCTCTTGGCGCAAGGTGTAACCATAGTTAATTTTTGCTAGGGTCCAACTTTAGCGTTATTCACAGGGGGTCTGGCCTCAGATCCCCTGCTACAGTTTGACCATGGCTTCCCCACGACAGTCCTTTCCACCCACATCCTCTCCTCTGAGGCTCAATTTCCTTATCTTCCCACTGAGCCCTGACCTCAGATCCGGAGCTTTCCACTGAGGTCTAACCTCAGAGATCTAACCCTACAAACCTTTCCCTTATACTCTAGTCTTTCCTATGGAGGTTTAACTTCCTATAGTGCCTAACTTCCCTTCTTTCCTCTGAAATCTACACTACGATCCCATTTCAGTCCGGCGGCTGGGTCTGACCTTGGATCCCCAATCCCCAAAGTCCCCTCCCTCCATTCTTCTGGGTGAGTCCGGCTCCCGACACGGAGCCTGGCAACAGTTGTTCCTCATCAAACGTGTGCCGAACAAAAGAATGGAGACAAGTGCAAGTTTGGTTCCTCTGGACACAGAAATAATCACCAGTGACCGAGTCTCAAGGGGACAGAGGCGGGGTGGGGTGGGATCATCCCATTTTCAAATGGGGACACTGATGCACAGAGAGGGGAGTGGGGGTCACAGGGCACGCTGGGGCGGAGCCACAGCAGGACCCACCGCTCCACCACCCTGGGGTGTCTGGGGAGACCAGTGCCTCCTTCAGGATGCTTCCCCCGCCATGAAGAGCTGGAGGCGGGCACCCCAAGGAACCTGGGGTGGGCAGCGGGTGGGTACTCAGGAGGCCGGGGTCTCAGCAGGCCCGGCACCCACCCTGTCCCCCAGCCTCTGTGGCTGACGTCTCCTCTGCTCCACTTGGTGCCGAAGCCGGGTCAGAACCAGCTCCGAGGCCTGGATCAGGCTGTGCTGTGGGGAATGAGAGAGGATGGCAGGGCTGAGACAGAGCTGGAAGGTGCAGGTTACACGCCCCCCACCCCAACCCCCAGAGGCTGAGAGCGCAGCCACGGTGGAAGGTCTGTGTGTGGGGTTAGAATGGGTCTCTGTGATGGGGTGAAGGTCAGACCCAGGGGGACGGCCTTCAGTGAATTTCCGGTGGAAGGGACAAAGCCCAGCCCCAGATGTGTGGGTCTGAGGTTAGAACTCAGTGGAGGGGACGGGGATGGATCAAAACATAACGGAGATAACACAACAGTGTAAAACAACTATACCCCAACAAACAAACAAAAAAACATAAAAGAGAGCTCGCATTATATTGGGGGTGAGGCTTGACCACCCGAGAGAGGCTGAGGTTAGTCCACAGCAGGGGGAACAAAGGTGAGACCCTGGCAGAAAAGGTTAGGCCCACAAGACAGAGAAAGACCAAACCAAAGTGGAAAAGAGAGGAATATGTCACCACACAAGGGACGGAGCCAGACCCTGGTTGGAGGGTCTGAAGTTAGCCCCTGACAGAAGGGACGGAAGGGAGATCACAGTGGAATGGCTTGAAAGAGATCACAATGAGGGATGCTGGGAGGCTGAGACCACAGCAGAAGGGTAGCCCCTTCTCCCACAGATGGACCACAGCCCTGTCCACTGCGGTCTAACCTCAGACCTCTCCTCATTCCGTTTTACTCGAGGGTCTAACTTTTGTCCCACGTACTGTGGTTCAACCTCAGACTTTTCCACTGGGGTCCAACCTCTATCTCTACGAGGTCTAACCTGGACCATTCCGCTGATGACTAGACTGAAGGAAAAGGCCCCAGCAAAGCCTGCAGTGGAGACAGTAAGGTTAGACTCCAGTAGAAAGAACCCAGGTTAGACCACGTGGGAAAGGAGCCTGGAGTCAGACCAGAGGGAAGGGGTAGGCAAACATCCGATCAGGAAACAGAGGTACATCATAGCTGAAGGGCTGGGGCCGGGCCGTAGTGAAAAGGTCAGAGGTCAGACATATTAGTTGGAGGTTAAACAGCAACGGAAGGTTCCAGGCTGGACACTGGGCCATTGGAATGGTGGGATATTAAATCGTAAGGGCGGTTAAGCTGCTGTCGGAGGGTGAGACGTCAAAGTACAGGAGAAGGCTGGACATTAGACCACAGGTCACGGGCGTGACCACAGTAGAAAGTTCAGTGGTTAGACCAAAGGGGAAGGGTTTGAGGTCAGACTATGGCAGAAAGCTGGAGAAGGAGGCTGAAGGTTAGACCACAGGCAGAATGGAGCTGGTCACACAGGTGGAAGAAAGGGTGGCTGCAGTAGGAGGGCCAAGGTTAGGGCGCAGTGGAAGAGTGCAGGTCAGGTCCTGGGGGCAGATCCAGGCTCGGCCACAGGGAAGGGACATGGTCAAAGCAGGTGGAACAAAGTAGAGACGTTCGGGAGGCTGAGGGAGGCCAGGGGGCCGGGGGTGATGGATGCTGTGGCTGAGCGCCCTTCAGCTGTGAGTGCCCCCAGCACCTCCCTTCTCCTTGACCAACAGGAACCGCCTGCCTCCCCCAAGATGGGGCCTGCAGCCAATGACCCCCTTGCCCGAAGCGGGGCCCAGCCTCCAGTTTCCAGAGGGATCGGGCCAAGGCCTGACTGCCCCTCTCCCGTGAGAACGTGCTCTCAATAAGGCGGGTGTTAAGGCCCCGTCTCCGGGGCCCCTGGCTACCTGCAGGATGTGCACGCCCTTCAGGGAGACCACAGCGAGCTCGCGCAGCCCGTCCCCGGTCAGGTCCACGTGCGCCATGGCCAGCAGGGGGCTAGAGAAGCTCCGCTGCCACAGCAAGCGGAAGCCACGCTGGGCCCCGGGGAGCCCGCGCTCTGGGCTGCAGTACTTGTAACAGAGCAGCTCCTGCAGGGGCAGGGGACTGGGGTCACACGGGGAGAGGCAGGAGGCAGAGGACACAGGCCACGGCAGCCCCACCCCTCCGGTCCCACCTGTCCGTAGGTGGCCACCAGGACCTCCGGCCGCCCATCCAAATCGATGTCAGTGACCAGGCCACAGAGGACACTGTCAAACTGGTCGCTGCCAGGCAGGAGAAGCTGGTCCTCGAGGCCCCGGCTCAGCAGGTCCCTGAGGGTCAGACCACGGCGGGGAGACTGAGGTCGACCGCGGTGCCCGCCACCCTTAGCACCAGACCCTCACGGGTCAGGTCTGGATGTGCTGTTCCTCCTGAAGCCTGGATACCCTCGTCTCCAAGTTAGACATCCTCATATCCACCAAGGGGAGCTCAAACTGTCTCTGATCTGGACACCCACACTGTCCCCTGGAGGTGGGACCGTCTCGCTCCCAAATGGAAACCCACACCGTTCCTTCTGGTGAGCCCCTTGTCTCCAGTCTGGACACCCACGAGGCCTCCTGAAGGCTCAGAGCTCAGCCCCAGCCACAGCTGGCTCGCACTGGCTCACGGGAGCCGACTGGGAAATTTTCAGCAACTTTGTGAGCAGCTTGGCATCACGTTGCTGGCTCAAAATCCACTGAGGTGGGAGTGTTGACACCACGGAAACGGGCAGATCCCATAAGCCAGGGCTTTCTCCCACATGGAGCCTGTGGTTAAACACTTGCCAACATGCTCTCTCCACCTACCCCAGGAGGACTGGACATCTCGGTTCCCACCCGAGGCCTCAGCACATGCCCTACAAGTTGTAGACTTAAACACTCATGCTCTTCCCCCTGGGACACAGACACCTTTACCTGCCCAGCCCTGAACCACTACACCCAAAGCTTTACTCTCTGTGGAGAATGACAAGGTTAGATCACCGTGCAAAGGCATGGGGTCAGCCCACACCCACGTGCCCCGGGGCCCTCACCGATACACCACAGCTGGTTCCAACATGCTGGCCACCAGCACGCTGTACTCCTCCCGCTGTGGCCTGTCCTCAGTCTCTGGAGAAGGAACGTGAACGGTGGGGGAGGCGTGAGGGGCCAGGTTCCAGGCTCCTCCTCCCTCCTCCCCACCCGTCCATTCCTGAGAGGAACACACGTTAGACCCCTGAGGTTGGGCTACAGGGGGAGGGTTAGAGGTTAGACCACGAGCGAATGACGGAGGTCAGACGCCAGGAGGAGGGAGAGGTGTTGGATGACAGTTTTAAAAGTCCAGGTTAGACCACCAGGGTACAAGAGACAAAGGTTAGGTGACAGCACAGAAGTCTGTGGTTAGACCACAGTGAGAGCACCAGGGGATAAACCACAGCGGAAGGGGCAGAAGAAAGACCACAGAGGTCAGGCCAAGAGAAACGCCAGAGAAGGACAGACCGCAGTAAGAGGAACAGATCAACATGTGGGGCGAAAGGAGAGACCCCGAGTGGGGGGACGGCGCTGAGTCCGTGAGAAAAGCCTGTACTTGGATGGCAGCAAGAGACAGAGTGAAGAGGCCACAGACAGGGGGTTCCGAGGAAGCCAGTGTGAGCAGTGAAGGTCAGACCACCAAGGGAAAGGCAGAAGTTCAACTCCAGGGTGAACGCTCGAGCCAGACCACCACAGGGGCTGAAGCTCAGGAGCGCCGTGGGGACGGAATGGGCACACTGTAGCTCCCGGGCTGGAGTGGGGCACACAGCGGGGAGCGAGGGATGGTGGGGAGCTGGGCATGTGGGGAGAGGGGTACAAATGCAGGTGGAGGAGCCGAGCCCGCAGCCTGGCCTCCCCCTGCCCGGAGCTCACCCTCGGGGGCCGAGAGGCTGAACACGATCACTCGGGAGATGGGGCCGTCCTGCAGGATCGTCCAAGTCTGCAGAACCTCTGTGTGGAGGGCGAGGACTCAGGGCCCCGTCCCGAGCACCCCCGCCCCAGTCCGGCCTCGCCCCGCACCCTGTGTCTGGGCCCCCGCCCCAGCCATCACCTCGACTCTGCTGGTCTACGTGGGCGACACGGACATAACCGCTCTGACAGCCGAGAGCTGAGAGTCGCCGGGACGTGCCAGGCAGGTTGTGCACATCAAGCCAGAGGACACTGGGGGTGGACGGGTGGACAGAGGGGCCTGAGGGCCGTCACCAGGCCCCAGCCCCCACCTCCACTTCCCTAGAAGCATCCACCCCACCCCACCTCCAGTAGAGCCTTGGGCCTCTGCTGGGCCTGATTTCTTTAGGGGTCAATTCCCACCACCTGATTTCTCTGAGGTTGCCTGCCCCGGTTCCCACTGGCCTCTGTCAGGGCCTCTCCTACCTACTGGTCAGGTTCGTGAGCTCTGGGAAGAGGTTTTCCACAGGCTGTTCTTCAAACTGATGCAACCCCTCGTTCTGGGGGAACCAAGACCCGCCACCAGCTTGGAGTCAGTGGCCAGCCTCACACACTGCGCCCCGTGCCAGCCCATGGTGGCCCCAGCAGGGCTCTGCCCACCAAGCCTCCCCCTGCCTCACCTCCTTGTAGAGATGAATGGCCGGGTCATTCCCACTCAGGAGAAACACGGTCTCCAGTTGATCCCCGACCTGGACCCTGAAAGCAGAAAAATCTAGAATGCCAGTGTGGTAGAGTCCGTGTGTTTTAAAATCCTCCTCTTGCAGAAACTCTTGCCTGCGAGAACCCTAACATTCTGGGTTCTAGACACTGGATCCAGAGCTAGGATCTCAGGGTGGAGAATTAAAGAAACTAGCCCTCACAGAATCTCAGATTTTAGAACTTTCCAGTCTCAGAATCACAGAAACTCAGTGTTTTTGAACCTTCTGTTTCTAGAGCCCTCACTTGCTAGAATCCTCATTCTGGATGTGGATTCAGGAATGAACATGGAGCTCTAGAATGGGCTGCAGAACCTCAGAACACTAGCACCTCTTTACCCTAGAACCCCAGTGTTCTAGAAGTTGTGTTTCCTGTCTCCTTTGAAATGCTAGAACTTCTGGAAATTGCCATCGTGGACATTCAGATTTACAGAAGTGGTAGAATACCCAGATCGTAGAACCCAGAACATTAGTGCTTTAGAACCTTCAGTTTCTAGAACTCTCATCTGCTAGACCAGAGGTTGGCAAATAATGACCTGCAGGGCAAATCCAGAACCCACGGCCTGTTTTTGTGAATAAAGTTTTATTGGAACACAGCCACACCCGTTCATTTACACAGTGTCAATGGCTGCCTTCTTGCTACGGCGGCCAACTTGAGTAGTTGTGATAGAGATTATCTGACCCCGAAGCTGCGCCTTAAAAGAAAAAGTTTGCCAACCCCTCTGCTAGAACACTGGTGTTCTGGAATTCAGAGCTCTAGAATGGAATTCTTATACTTTGGGATTCTAGAACATCAGTATTCTAGACGGTCTGTATTCTATCTCCTTGGAATATGACAATGTTAGGGCTTTAATATTACAGAATCTCAGAATCATCAAACTGTAGCACTTTCAAATCTTGGAATCCCAGAGCTTACAACTCTAGGAAAATGGGCATTTCTGGGTCTTGGAATGCCCAAATCTAGATCGTTAGAATTTGAGAATTCTACACATCTGGAGCACAGGAGCGCATTCACTCTCAAATTATCTAGTTCAGGGATAACAAAATGGTAGCCCATCAGCCAAGTCTGGTCCATGGCTACCTTAAATGCACGATGCTCTAAAAAACAAACTAGTCTGATTGTCTATAGGCAGGTTTGTGGTCTCCAGTTTGCTACAGCCTCTGCCCTCCCAACACACATACACACACACGCACGCACACACACACACTCCCTATTGTATCACACCTGTGGCTTACTTACTCTGCGTGGCACAGTTGGAAAGGAGTGAACTGGAGCTCCAGGTTCAGGCAGCTCTCTGCAGGGGGAGTACAGGCAGATGGGCACAGGGGACCTGACAGCCCCCCCCCCCCAACCCCCTTCCCCATCCCTCCTTCCCTCCAGGCCACACTTACGGGCAATGGAGTCCAGGTTGTACTCAGAGCCAGGCTCGTAGTCACAGTAGATGTTAAGGAAGGGGCTGCCCTTGTCCCCTGAATCCTGGAAGAGGAAACTGGCCTCAGGGGAGAGTAGGGGCAGCAAGAGGGATATGGGTCAGACTCAGTAAGGAGGAGAAAATGGGTAGGTCTCTGGGTACCTTGATGAACGTGATCCCCACCACCAGGCCCTGCTTTGGGGGTGACTTGTTGAAGGTGTCGATGGAGACAATCTCTGCGTCCACTGGGAGAGGACAGTTCAAAGTTCACGTTTCAGGCAGACCCGTGACCCCAATATTCCCAATCAACAGTGAGCCCTGACCTCTAGGACTCAGTCATCTCTGACCACCACAAGTCATCACGACCTCTGGGACGGTGTGAGTCCTGATCACCATCGCCATCACCATGGTAGGAGGGATCCTGGTTTCTGAGTCTGAGGAATCCTGAACCCTAAGTACTTCAGGCCCCTATTAGCCCTGTCCTCTGACCCCAATGCCTCCAGACTACCAGCCTTGACCCCCTTCAATCACCATCACCCTGATCCCATTCTCCCATCCTGATGACCTGGCTCAGACAGAGCCTCAGAAGCCTTCTCAGCACTACGTTCCAAGCCCCCCGCCCCATGGCGCCACGCACCGGGAATGTAATTGAACTGCAGCTCCTTGGCCACGGGCCGGATTTTCTGTCGGAGGTCTTGGTAGCGGAAGCCTAGCACCTTGCCTTTAAGGGTGGCGGCCAGCAGCTCCCCGCGCCCGTCCGCGCCGCCCGCCAGCCCGTACACATTGCTCTGAGACGAGAAGCGTGTGAAGCTGTCCTCGCGCAGCGGGCAAGGCCCCGCGGCCACGGCCGCCTCCCCCATCACGCCCCTCAAACACTGGTCCCCGTAGCCCCCGCGGCTGCCCACTCTACGCCATGGACCGCCGGGTGCCGCCCGGGCACGCAGACTGATTACGTAGAGAAGCGGTCGACGCTGCCCTTTACCAAGATGGCTGCCAGCCGGGCCGCTTGGGCTTCCCACCAGACTTTGCCTCAATGCGCCTGCGCGCTCCTGCCTGGTCCTTTTCAGGGCCGAGGTGACTGCCGCCAGCTAATTAAGGCCTGAAGATGGGAGGTGGTGGCCCATGCTGTGGGCGGTGCGGAAGGTGGAATAAGAAGAACCTTAATGCTCAATATAGCCCTTACGTGCCAGGAACTGTTCTAAGCCTTTACATCTATCAATTTTTAGTTAAAACTCACAGGCAGGCTTTCAAGGTAGGTACCATGATATGTTTTACCGATGAAGAAACTGAGGCACAGACAGGTAATTTGTCTAAGATCACACAGCTAGAAGCAGCAGTCAGTATTGGAACCCAAACACAATAGCTCCACAGTTTGTTTTAATCACATCACCTTTAAAATGGTGAAATGCATTCTTCTTACCCCAAGGAAAAAGTTCTAGCTATCTGTCTTGGCCAATCACCACCACCTTCTTTACTGAAAGCCTACTTTATCAGTCATGTTGGCTGATTATCTCATTGAATCTTCACAACTACCCTGCTCTGGTTACCCCGCGTTCATTTATTCAGCATTTATTGACCACTGTATGAATTTATCTCCATAAACTGTTGCAACAACTTTGGAGAGAGGTTTATTATCCCAGTTTCTGGAGAATGAAATTGTGGCTCGGGGAGAATAAGTCCCTTGACTGATATGACAGTAAGTGGTGGAGACAGGATGAGGTCTTCTGGGATTCCTGTATATACTTTTTTGTCTCCAGAATGGCATCAAGGGTTTGGGGGACTCTATATGTATACCTGTATGTTATTTCCAGAAGACATGAGTTGGCCAGCTGTCCTGGCCACCTTGAGTAATCTTCTGTCACCCGCTTCCATGCAGAAAGAAAACACACAAACACACACGCACGCACACACACTGCAAGATCTGTGAAGGCAGTGACTGGATCTCCCTTGGTCACAGTCAAATCCCCGACGCCTGGCCCACAAGGCCTGACATGGGATGAGCATTTAGTAAATATGTTAAGAACCCAAAACTATGTACCAGGCCCTTTGCCAAGCACCTGGGACACTGTTGCATAAGAGACCTGAGAGGAGAGTTCTCAAAGGCAGACTGGATCCGGAGGGTGGTGAAAAGAAAGGAGTTTGTGTCCACTCCAGATCTGGTTATGCTAATTTAGTGCTGTAATCCCAGGGTTTGAACCAGGGCGTGGCACACAGTAGGTGCTGAGTAGATACTTGCTGAGTAAAAAGGGGTGGGGTCTGGTTCTGCCGCTTCTGAACAATGTTTTCTTCAACCTCCCTTGGTAACCGCGAAACCACATTCCCTTCATATTTGAGTGAATGAATAAACAGATGGGTTGGAAAGGAGAGAACTGTCCTGTTCAGTGGTTTCCAACCCTAACTACACAGTTGGATCACCTATGGAAAAAAACTCTCCAAAACCAAAAGGGTGGGGAAGCTCAATCAAATCACAATTTATCAGAGTGCAACCCAAGCTTGAGCACTTTTAATATGATTTTAAAGCACAGCCAGGGTTGAGCATCACTATTTAGGTCATGGGTGGCACAAACAGACTCTCACACTACTTACTCTTCAGTCTGTGCCAAGGCAGACACTGGTAATCAATCTGAGATCTCAGGAGTCTTAACTGAGCTCTAGGCAGCCATTATCAATCGATTAGAGCTGTGGGAAAAGCTGAAGGGGACAGAGGGGCAGGACAGGATGTCACATAGAGGCCACTCTTGACACACACTGAGCATGAACCTTTCCTGAATTCTTTCCAGGCTCCAGGCTGGAGGCAGCTCTCCGAGGAGCCTGCCCTGGTTTCCCAGGTAGCACCTCCTCTGCAGCCCCTGTTCACTTCCTGACTTCATGCCACATACTGTGACACTGAGTCTGCAGTTGGGCACTGACCCTCCTCCAGCTGTTCCCCTACTCCAAAGTGGGGAGCGCCCGGCCCAGCCCAGTGCCGGGTGGAAGCACAGGCACATCAGACTGTCCACCTGGCAGGCAGGCCCACGTGCTGGAGTGTGGAGGAGGTGGCTGATTCTTGCCCTCCTTTCCTGGGCAAAGGGCTCCTGCTGTTTCCTCTCCCACTCACCATACCCACTCGGTCCTCCTTGTACTCCGCCCACCAAAGCCGCTCCCTCTCCCCGCCCCAGCCCGCGCCCACCCCCACCCCCCCTTCGACAGATGGAACAGTGCTACTGGGGCTTTCAGCCCTCCCTGCAGGAAAATATGGACGTGGGGTGTGAGGCTGGAAGACTTGGTGGGCCTCCTCCAACCCTTATCACCGGTGATGCATCCATCCTCCCGCCAGCTCTGGGGGAGGGGCACTGGTACCCATCATCCCAGCTGAGGAAACCAAGGACCAGAAAGCCCAGAGCTCAAAGATCCCAAGCCCATGGCTCCCAAACCCACCAGCCCTGGGCCTCCCCTCTCTAGGCTCTGACCCAGCCCATCCTCCTGGTTAAGCCTGCCCTCTTCTTTCCCAGGAAGCACGCCCAGAGCCCAAGGCGGGAGGGCCAAGGGAGAGGGGACCCAGGCCCTGAAGGGTGAGGAGGGAGCAGAGGTGAGGAGGAAGAGACTCATGCACAAGTGTTGTCTTTTATTTCCTTCCTCAGGCAGCTGCAGCTTCCCACCAACACCTCGAAGCGCAGGGTGGAGATGGAGGGGTGGGCATGGGGATGACCCTCAGAGCTCCAGGGCCTGGGACTACCCTGAGAGGTGAGGGCTGCAGGAGGCTGGGAGGCTCCTGTGCTGGGTGGGGGAGGAGCCCACCCCAGCAGTGACAGCAAATCACGGTGGCTACGTGGGCTCAGAGCTCGGCTGTGGGACAAAGGTGGAGAGACAGACACCAAACTCACGACTCAGCTGGTTGGGAGATGGGGGGCCAGATGCTGACCCTGATCCCTGGCAGCACCCACAGCAAATAGGTCTGAATCAAAGATTCTGTGTGTCGGGGGGGG